AGATTGAATGCTTTTGTTGTCATCTTTATTTAATTTTTTTTTCTCATTTAGAGTTTATTGACATCACCATTGAAATAATAATTCTCTCGTCATCGATAAGTATCCAGTTGTTCATCTGAAGTGTCACCGAAAAAAGTCCATCATATGGACATCAAATGTCATGACGAAAATTGAAATTCATAAACATCGAATTGGTATCTCATGTAGTAAGTATTGAATTACCATTTTACTATGTGAACATTTTTTCTCTTTTTAGGAATATTTAGTCAAAGAAAAAGAATAATTAAAAAATTCTCTGATGCAATTGGGTCAATGGATAATAAGATTAATGCATGTTTTAATTAATACAACAAATTATGAATATGGCCAAGTTAAAGATAAAATGGATGCAACATTTACTCATCGTCAACGTTTTATTCAAGAAATGAAACCAACCACAGAAATTGTCGAATTATATCCGAGTTTATCAGTGGTAAACTTAGTAAATGTTAAAGACTGTATATATTGATTTATTTGTTATTTATTTAGTTTTATTCACAGCTGGTGCGTGAAATAAATCTTTATTCTGACTCACTTAATGCACATATTGTTTTAGCATTAAAATTAAATTGTATAAAATTGATTAAGTATTTAGATCAACAACGAAAACAAAAAAATATTGATGAAAGTAATACATTTTATTAATCTTCGTATATATCATTTCCTTGTTTTCTTTATTTTATAAGAACAAGCACTTTTCACACTGAAGGGTCTGACCATAAGTCGCTATAAGCACTCGAAAAAATTGTTATTGAATCACCTGAGTAATTTCAATAACTCTTTAAGTTATTATATTATTCTCACCATTTAATTTTATCATTACTTATTTTAGGAAGCAATTGATGCCGATGCAATGATACAAATACAAATGATTAAAAATATTAAAAATTATTCTATTGTTATTAAATATAACACATTTATTACGACGAATTCACAAGTTGAAATTACGGTTATTAGTTTAATTGGATTGTATGAAATATTCAATATAGAATATTTAACAAAAGTAAGATTTATATTGGAGATCTTGTATAACTTCTTATTCATAAAACGATCATTTTCTTTGTCATTAGTCGCAAAAAGACTCTTAAATGAACATAGATTGATGAATCAAACACTGAAAAGTATGTTTATTTGTAAGTATAATTGTTCGTAATCTATACCTTCTAAAATTGTATTAGTCAATATATTTCATTTATTTTTTTGTGCAGTTTTATAATTTTCTTAAACCTTGACCTGTTTTTATTGTTAATAATTTTTGAATTGCTTGTTTTTTTTTATTAGCTGTAGCTTTTTCATTTTTTTGTTCATTTTATATAATTTGAATACGAATTAAAATAAATCAAAGAAACTGAACTATAAAATGAAAACGAAAACTCATTTTTATTTTTTAAAAAATGCTCGAACAGATAAATTCTATGCAAATCTCCAGAAATACCTATATGAATTGATTCTCGATTTCCTAATTAGAAATTCATCGATGAATTCGCATAGGCATTACGAGAATACCTTTTTTCAACATCTCTAACTTATTTTCTACTTTACAACGTAAATCAAGACAACGACCAGTGAAGAAGTCAAGAAGTGTCTTTCTCTTTGTTTTAGATAATGAACAACTAGAAGAATTAAAAACAATAACTTTTCTTGTTCACAAAAAATCAAGGTTAAAAGAATTAGGTTAAAATAAGTAGGTTAAGAGCACGATAATATATATAGAACAGGTGAAGAGAAAGGAAAAGAATAATAAAAGTGATGTGTTCTATAATCATTCTAATTTTAGTACTGATCCTTTAATATATTCCATTGTAAATAAATTATATTTATCGATCTTTAAATTTATTTGCAAACCAAATTAATTAATAACTGACCATTTAAGCAATTTACTTATCAATCATTTACGTTACTGATTTTATAATTATTTCATTTATTGACCGCAAATCATATTCCCATTATGAATATATTATCTGATTATTTTTTAGTTATTAACTTACAAAATAATTTGAGTTTGAAGGAAATTTCAAAAATTCAAACTATTTTCGATTTATTCAATGTACAATCGGTTGAAAAAATTATATTTCATGAATATTGAACATTATTACATTTATATTTAAAAGCTTCTCTTACAACAGATACGGCTGAAAGATCTTTCAGTGTTATGAATAGAATAAAGACATATCTAAGATCAAGAATGGTACAACAACGTTTTCATCATGTCGTTATTCCTCATATTCACAAAGAAAAATTAGATCAACTGGACTTGAACAGCATCTGCTTTAATTTTATTTTAAAAAATCAGAATTAAAAAGCTTGTTTTGCTCATGAATAGAAATTTTTTTTATTTATGATTCTTTTTATTTGCTTTAGCCAATATTTAAGCTTTTTATGCTTCTGCTGATCACTTTTTAAAAATTTTCATAATACAGCAGAATTTTTTATCAATTTATAGACATGGATATGGATGAATGCATAAATATCTCTCTAATGAAAGTTGTGATCACGAAACTAAAAAATTTCTTTCCACTTTTAATGTTGTCCTTTCATCATTGTTTGAAAAAACAATTTTGAGCCTCCTCTAAATTAGAATCGTTCCGTCGTCTCTATTCTCGTATTGATCGGCAAACTATTACTAGTAAAGTCATAATATTTTATGTATTGTATACAATGATTAAAGAAAAACTAAATGCAACCATTGTTTTGCGCACATGTTTACGAATATTTTTCTTTTCTTTTATTTTGCTATTAATTGTTCCCCATCTTGTTGCTTTTTACAGTAGATGTATTGAGAGAAGAAAAATAGTATCTACACAAAGAAGAAAGGAGAGAGAGAGAGAATAAATTGCACACAATTGAGGTCAGAATAAGAGGGAATAGCACATATTTACGAATACTCGATTTACTCTTTATCATCCTCTAATAAGCAGCTTAGACAATACATGACAGAAAAAGCAAAACGATCATAATAGTCGTGTGAAAACAAAATATCGAAGAACAATCTCTTCATATTATTGGACGTATATGGATGAATGCACAAAAACAAACGATATTTTGTGATATATATATATAACCAACAGAATCCTTTTATTTTATGCATAAAACAACATTGGTAGATTACACTATTACTCTGGTTGTGTATACAGAAGATTTTGCACGAATACAACAAATAAATGTATGTATTTCAAAAGTGTTCTCTCTTCAGAAGGTTTTCTAAAGCATTAGTATCGAGTAACTTTTTATATCGTCAGATATTACCATTAACTCTGTGTAGTATTATTTTCATATCATGGTCATTATTTTCTTGATGGTGAAAACATTCTGAGATTTGTTAAGAAATGAATAATAGAGACTATCTACTGTAAAGTCACTATCCTCACAACAAATCTATAGCAAAGATTGTCAATCTGGTTTTTGAGTTCTAACATAGAAATACAATCATTCAGTATTGTATTCTTCTCTAGTAACGGGTGGCGCAGATTAAATGAGCCTCTCAGTATTTTGCATATTTTTCGTCTATAATTCGGCATAGAAAAAAAGTTTTTTTATAGTAAGATTTCTTGTCAAATTCTCTACAAAGCGTAGATATTTTTATTATCTTAAATAATTTCCATTATTTTGTAACATGCGATACAATTGATTGGTCAAAGAAGCACGACTTTCAAACAAGAAGTTTTTCGTAGGATTAGCATGTTTCAAACCTGCTGTTCTATGAAGGAATGTAGCTCAGTAGGTTTTGTAGAGGAAAGTTTGCTCTACAATACAGTATAGTCGGATTCTCAAATACATTTAAATACTTTGAAGAAATCTCGATGGAAGATTGTATAGGATCAAAGAAATGATGCCTTCTGTTTTTAGGGAAGATACTCTTTACAATGTTCTAACGGAATTTATTCATAATATTCCAGTGTATCTGTAAAATCGCCTACAGAGTTTTGTAGAGCGGACTTTCCTCTACAAAACTTGCTGTCTTATATATCTCCACAATACAACCGTTTTGAGATATACTAATTGACTTTTTATATTACTCACAAGGCGAAGTTGCATTTCGAGCTTGTTTAGTATTTCGACTATAACATTGTCATTTATAAATGGAATTCAAAAACATCTTTTTACCAAAAGAATCAGCAAAAAAAGCTCTACAAAAACTCATATGAAAAAAATTTTTTCTGAACACTTTGCGTTGCTTTTTGATTGACTTCTCATGAAACTATCTGCTAGAAACTTCTTGTTTGAAAGTTGTGCTTCTTTGACCAATCAATTGTATCGCATGTTACAAAATAATGGAAATTATTTAAGATAATAAAAATATCTACGCTTTGTAGAGAATTTGACAAGAAATCTTGCTATAAAAAAATTTTTTTTCTATGCCGAATTATAGACGAAAAATATGCAAAATACTGAGAGGCTCATTTAATCTGCGCCACCCGTTACTTTATAACTTGCTCGGATTCCACTAAGCATTTGGACAAGTACCAACATAGGATAATGCCCACAGCAGTTGTACTTTCTCTGCAAGTTAGTTAGATGTAAAACCTCACAAGTACTTGAAGAATAGTACTTTTTGGACATTCAAGCAAGAGTTTGTTTTTTACTTGAGTGCTTGCACAAAATGACGCGTACTGTGGACATTATCTGTGAAAGCGCTTGCTCATCTGCTCGACACAAGCACCACATTTAGTGTGCCAACAATCAATTAAATTCGTTTGTATTCAAAATGATGTTTTAGATTCTACTTGTTTCATTTAGATAAAAGAAAAAAAATGATGCGACTAGTAATCATGATCTTGCTTCTGCCAATCGTAAGCAGTGGTGTCATCAACCAAAAAGATTGTAGAGCCGTTGTCGGTGGAAAGTATCAAATACGCATAAACTATCTCACTTTCTATGCCTATGAAAGTTGTACGCTTCATGAAGACGGTACAGTTCACATAATTGACAGTACACAAAGTGGTATTGGTCCAACAGGCATAATGGTATTTCCACCATTTACTGACTTGATTGGAGCATGGAAATGTGTTGGAAAAAATAGAATTGAGCTTCGCGTTGGTGCTTATAATCTTCAGCTGCCTGGTAGTAACGTTCCAGCTTCATTAGCTTTTGTTTGTATCTCGTTGACTTTTACGAAGAATGGTGAATATCTGACGGGAACATTTCAATACTCAAACTATAAGCTCGGTGTTAATCCAACTAAACCCGGTGCGAAACCACTTGTTAACCAAACGTACGGACCATACAAAGTCAATGGTGATCGATTGGATTTCGTTAAACAGTAGTTCTACGAAATGAGATCATCGACAGCTGGAAAAAAAACTTTAAAACATTGCCGCTTCCATTCTTTCTTTTTTTTGCTCATTTTCTGTTCATTTTATCTTCATAAATAAATAAATAAATAAATAAATCCATTCAACTGTTCTCACCAGACATCGATAGAATATAGGACAAATTTCGTCCTACAATACCACGGAATAGGACAGGAAAATTCGCAAAGATCTTTCGCAAAAATATCGATGGGATGGGGACCGCGTTGGGTCGTATTGCTAGTCTGAAGATGTGAAGCTACCCATACTTCAAGAGAGCCATCATGAGGAGACCAAGAAACCGAAACACTGGTCAAAATGTAAAGTTTTGATTTATTTTTATGGGCATTAGAGATAGATCTTCATCTAAAACCACAAAACCCAAATTTTGTAGACATTTTAATTTTCTTTCTTTGATTATTTAATTGAATATTTTAATAAATTTTAATTTTAAATCTTTTTATTATTATAAAATCACGTGAAGTTTCGTTGCTGTAAGTAACTTCTTCAGACAAATTACAATAGATTTATAATATATTAAATAAACTATACATTTTTAATGGACTGTATATTGCACAATAGACTAAATAGAAAACAAAACAGATGGTTATTTTTCTTTTTTCTTAACCTTTAATAGTCATACGAAACAAGACGGTAAAAGTAATAGACTGGATTAATGAATCATTTCCGTATCACTATTACCGTCTTCTTCCACCAAAATCAGCAGTCGATTTTTAAATGTACATGTTATTGGATTTTTCTTGTAATTTATTCTTTTGTTTTATATAAAATTGTATCGAAAATTTCGGTAAGATTGTCATGTTTAGTAATTGATTCATTAATTAATTAATAGATTGTTCTTCTTTTATTTCAATTCTTCTCTTGTTTAGCTGCAAAGGCATGATTGGTGTCAAATAAACATTGCTAACAATTTTCTTTTATGTGTTAAAACATTTCTGATTTATTATGAAGGTCATTGATCAATGTGAAATGTTGTTTCATTCGTTTCTTAATTCCTACTTTTGTTTCTTTATTGTATATCATTGATAGTTTACAATCATATTGAATTTGATAAAGAATTGATCGTGATGGACTTTTTATTGAATCATTAAAATTAGTTTGAATTTTGTTTGGATATGAGAAATAAAGTTTATTTTTTAATTTTCCGAGTCTTCGTTTTAATACTTCAATTCTGAGAACATCAGGTAAACTCATGTTAAATTTAATTTCATTATTCTTTTTGTGTAGTGAATTATTTGTATTTATTGTTTAATATGCTTGTTGCATTAATTTTTCAATTTCTTTATTTGAGTAATTAGAATTAATCGACATGTCTTTTTACTTCTTAAGATCTTCTTGTTGTTTCTATAATTCTTGTGATCATATTTTTTCATAATGTTTGTTTTATCAATTTCGTATGACTGAAATTATAGTTGAGAAGTTGATCAGAAACTGTTTCTTTTCTGAACCATCTTACTTTAATTTTTAATTCATCAGTAATTGTTTGTTTTGATAATATTATGTCGTAAAAGTTAATTTTACCATCGTTTCCATATTCATATGTAAATTGAATGTTGCTATTTATTTTATTTACATATTCATCTAATTCTTCTTTATTCACTAATGTTGTTAGCAGATATTCGTTCATTTATATATCAACAATTAAACGATTTAAAGTGTTACCCATTGGTAATCCATTCTCTTGTTTATAAACTTTTTCATTACTCTGGATTGATATTCCTGAAAATTCTTCAACAAAATTAAAAGTATTATTCACCACATCACTTAATGGTGATCTTTATTCTTTGATAATTTTGAATACAAATTGGAATATTAGTGAAAGAATTGTATCAAAAAAGCAAGTTATAATTCGCATAGATGTATTTGTTTCATGAAGTTTTAGTTGTCTTCTTATTGTTGGAAGATCATCAATACGTGTTAATAATAAATTCTTTGAAATATTGATTTTATCTTATTGATATAATTTGGTAACTGAATTGTTGATTGTTGTTTTTAAATTGTCTGTTGGATCTTTTTTAATCTTCTCATAGACATTTTCATTATTTTATTTTTCTTCTATTTTAATTATATATTGTAATTTATCTAATGTTCAAACTTTTCCATGCTTGTCTGCTTGTGTAATGTTGATTTCTTTCATTGATTTTATTTCAAATAATAATTTCATCCTTTTTTCCGTCATCTTATTTCTCTTTGATTTTCTTCATAGGTTAATTAATGTTGGAATTTCTGCTATTGCCGCTTTTTTTGACTATTATTCATGTAGAATTCAATGATGTTTCACAGTTGGTGATGTTAGTAACTGTGTCAATAGATCTTTGGGTTAGTACAAATTTCAGTCCTTTTGATAACACTTTCAAATATTCGTGACTGAATTGAGCTTTGGATAAGTTAATGACATTATTTATGCAAGGTATCACAAAAGTCTCTTCTACTTATATTTTTCGCATACATTTGCTACTTCATTTGATTTTATGAACTAATTTTTTTCAGATGATAGATGGATACACCTAGTTTTTATTTATACGTACAAACTTCAGAAGTACTGTTCAAAAGTAAGATCTTTAGCTGAAACACAAAAATTTTGCCTGTCTTCTATTTTCCAGAAAAACATTACGCAACATTGGTTTTACAATTACTTCAGAATATTGAACGATTCAGAACTTTAAATTCTTCGTTTGTTGAACAGTCTTTTCATAGAATTTTCACACTATGGTTCTTTTGATTTCAATCTGAATTTAGAAGAAAAAAATGACACTCGATTTCAAATCGAAATGCGGGACTTGCTGGTCTTTAGAATTATGATGATGATATCTATAGTATATACACCTATTTTTAAAGACCCGCAAGACCCGCGGTTTCTGTGAAAAGGGGTGCTGTTTTTTTTCCAAAATTCAGTTTGAAATCAAAAAGACCATAGACTCTTTTTTTTAGGTATCGCTTTTCCTGCGACTATCTATTGTTATTGAAATTGTTTGTTTGAGAGTTTGAACAAATGTTTCAAAAAAAAAAGAACTTAATCAATATTACATGAGAAATAAACCCCATTATATGGAAAAAAATATACCTACCCAGGCGAGCAAAGGACGGGTAAAAAGACTAGTCATTTTTCTGGTCGTGACTATGCGTCACGTCTAGTCTTTTTCTCAAAAAGTCCTACTACATGACTAGTCCAAAATGGTTTGGAATCTTTAACCCCGTCTGGGCATCCCGTCCGAAAATAGATTTTAAATTAAAAAAAGCAGAGCGCCTGTGACGCGACATCTATTAGGTTTCAGTCTTATGTAGCGGTCTAGTTCGGACTAGTCTAAACGATAGAAATATGTGTAGAAAGTTAGATTCGTACATGCATACCTTGTGTTACTTACTTGTCGTCTACCCGATTGAGCCATATGATCTAATGATCAACTTTTACATGTCAATACACATCTGAAGACACTAATTACTACAGTTTGACTCAGCGTTTTCTCAAGTTTTAATATTTATAGAAACTACTTGTAATAAAATCGAAAATTAGTTACATAAAGCTAAGCAAAATTAATTCAGAATTTTTTTAATTTCCTTCAACAGAATTTTTTTTGATTATCGACATTTGGAAAAAGTTATTTTCTATTGGAAAAAACAATTAAAATTTAAATCAAAATCAAAATAATAATATATATTTCAAAAAAAAATCTTGCTTTTCATCTCATGGTTTATGTTTATCTTAATTTAAAATATTTCGTATTTAAATTTGAAAATGAACTATGATTCCACCGTTTAAATCCATTTTTAAATTCAAATCATTAGGTTTTATATTGAAATAAAATAATATCCTCATATCAATGCATTAAAATTAATTTTTCGAATAAAATTATTCTTGATTGTTATTACAATTTAAAAATTTAAAAGGACATAAATAGCCAACTCTCATTAGATACATCGTTCTAGTCCCAATACAAACTAGTCAAAACGAATTGTCCGAATGATTAAGTCCAAGCAATAAAGACTGTTTGGAAGGATAGACTAGCCTGGACCAGAATTAGCATTACTTTCTCGAAAACGACTAGTCATGACCAATATAGATGACTCTTCATACTAGTCCGCGTTACTCATTGAAAACAGTTCAGACTAGTCAGGTATCCAATATTGTCGGCTTGAATGTTCGAATCCACCTATCGCCTCCGTTTCTTCTAGTTTTTGCCTTCAAGTTGACGCGTCTGGACAGTATGCACATACAAAACGGACTAGCCATGACAAGATTAGAGCATGTTTTGGACTAGTCTATTTTAGATGCAAGACGTTCCTCGTGAAGACGACTAGTCCTGACTTGCTGCAAATCATTTCAGACTAGTCCAAACGGCAGTGCAGACATTTTAGACTAGTCCAGACGGGTACTACGGACACTTTAGACTAGTCATGTCGGGCGTCACCCGTTATTTTTTGCTCGCCTGGGTATTTCCAACTGGCAAGAGAACCATATTGATTTGTACACTTCAAATCATATTAGTACCAACTAATGCTGTAGATTGACGTCGATTTGAACAATTAATTGAAATTGTTGTTGTTATTGTTGCTTTATTTTAATTAGTGGCCACTTTATTTAGAAAAGAAAATGAAAAAGATAAAAAAAAACGGTGTAGATGTGGCTGTCGTCTTACTGAGTAATCGAAACGTTGATGAGTTATAAGATGTTAAAACATGTTTGAGCAGTAGAAATCGACTGTCCGATAGTATGCAGTTTTCGAGTGCTCGAAATTGGAACCCAATGAGCAAAAAATGTATATTTAAAATTTTTGACCTTCTCCATGTGCTATCCATCGTATGCTTTTCAAAGTTTGTTTGGGAAGGGGCAAAACGTTTGAATCATCAGTTTTAGTGAAAAATTGGCAACATAGGGAGTGATTGATGTTTCATTCTAAACTAATGTTGTCTTTTGTTAAATTTTTATGTTGATAATATATTCTTCCAAAAATTATGTAAATAAGATGTATTTATTAAGATTGAAAATGATTATCTGACATGTCTAATAGTTTATTTTTTGCTTTCATATAAATAGTTAGATTCTTATGTAAAATAATATCTAAACTATTTTGATAAAAGAATGACTCTGAATTTCTGTTATCAAACATGAAAAAAAAGAATAAATAGTAGATAAAAACTTTGAAGATATATAGGACAAACACAATTTTAACTTTAAACACTATTTAACGTTTATAATTTTAAGAACTTTGATTTTTGAAACTGTATAATTTAAAAATTCAATACATAATCATTCGAAAACAATGAAAAAATTTCTGATCACAATTATTTTATTAATGATCATATCAATTCATAAATCAGAGCAAAGAAGATCAACATGTTATTCATGCTCTATTTGGTGATATATATAAAAATGATATTGTTTATTATGGATTTGTTGACCTGGATAAATCCAAATACAATATATTAAGTACATTAAATATCGATGATGTTGGAAATCCTCGAAAAAGAAAATATCAAATTGTACCATTGACATATGATCCTTCAAATGATATTGTATTTATGTCAGCTATAAATAATCAAAACAAAATAATATTAAGTGTAATTAATGCTACAAATGGTATGCTTTTACACACATTTAATTCAATTCCTAATGAAATTATTTCTCTTCAATATGATATATTCAATAATAAATTATTTGTACATACTGAAACTAATGATGAAAACTTAACACAAATTGTAGAAATCGATACGAATAATGGAAATTTTAAACAAATTTTAGGACAAATATCTGGAGCTAAACCAACTGATATATCAAGTTATTGTCCAATTTGTAGAAAATATTTTCTCGTTATGTTTGAAAATGATCATTTTATGTATGCTGCTGTTAATACTAGTGATGGTGGTGGAATTAGTTGGAGAGTACCATTAAATTTTTCTCCTCTTAATATTAGATTTACTTATAAAAAATTTTAAATGTACTCTGTCTGTATAAACCAAACAGATAGAACGACTTTACAAATTAGAATACTAGACAGAACAACAGAAAGTATTGGGAAAGTTGTTGGAACTGTTTCTAATCAAACCAATTTATTATTATTTACTCGATTTTCGGCATTTGATATAATTACTAGTTTATATTATACATCAAATATAATGACTATGCCTTATTCGCATAGAATATCTTATCTTAATGTGAATACATCAGAAATAAAGAGAATTTCTTTACCAGAAAGCAACTACCACTTCTATGCATGATTTATTAAGCAATTTGTTCCATAAAATAAAACTTATGTGATTTTTTTTCTTTAAAAAATTTTCGTATCAAAAATAAAATATATCCCTTTGCAATAATTTATATCAATCTAGTCTCATTTGAATGTTAAATTACACAAAAAAAAGTTAAACTCGAATAAAGGAAAATGAAAGACTTTTTCTAAGTTTTAACTAATAAAATATAATATTATACGCATACACACAGCCCAACACAATGAGCAAAAGGGCGATTTGTATGACCAAAATGCAGATAGATATTCAACATTTAACCATTAAATCAAACAATCCAATGTAATAACTAAATGCTGCTCTTTATTACAAAGACAATCACTAAAACGCACAAAGGTGTTGGTGTGGGTGTGTTTCTTCCCGTAGTCTACACCCACACTCACATCCATTAATAAATGCGATCTATTCACACCGGTTCTTTAGAATACCTAATTCAGATGCAATACAGAGAACCTCTGACTTAGTAATACAATGAATGATTTCTGAGGGTGTGGGTGTGGGTTTGGGTAGTTGCAGAGAAATTCGGCACCCACACCCACACCCTCCAACTCAATTCTATTGGCCTCACGGAGTGTTCGTCGACTTGTTCGGTACAGTCTACGTGGCAGACATGAATAATCATCGCGTGATGCGTTGGTATAACGGAACAACAGCGGAAAATGTCATCGTAGGAGGAACCAGTCGAGAACAACAAGCAAACCAATTGAATCGTCCTAGTGGTTTGACATTTGATCGATATGGCAACGCCTATGTGGTCGATAGTTTGAATAATCGTGTACAACGATTCTCAATCGGAGAAAGTTGATCACGCTTGTTCGGCGAAGTGACAACTGGTCGCATACATGATCAATTGCAATATTCTTTGTGCGACCATAGCGTAGACAGGAGAGTGTGGATGTGTGGCTGTGGGTGTGGGTCTTTTCTTCCATGAGCACCCACACACTCACACCCGAAGTATTCAGATCAATTGACCGGATTGACTCCAAAACTATAAACAAAATAGATGAACAATAATTATCAAAATCAAAATTCAATAATTTTCGCCTTTCTCTTAGTTTTCCTTATAAGAAATAACACGATACTACACTCGTTCAGTTTTAACTGTCTATTGTGGTTTCGAAAATAGCTATAAAAATTTGGTTTCATGAACCGAGTAGAACATTTAATAGAGCATATTTTGAAAAAAAAATATCAACGTTTTATTATGATCCTGAACAGAGTTGCATGCAAAACTTTCACCATACCTGATATACTTTTTCAACGCCACGTCTATGGATCGTTATCAAAATGTCTCTCACAGGCTGTGAAAGTCGATAGAACCTTGCCCTCTTCGTGTCTCATAAAAACAATATATCAAATAAACTCCAGTTTAATAAATGGCTCAATCAACTAAAACAATAAATATAGATTAGCCAATGGAAATTTCCAAAATGATATCTGCAGCAAAACTTCTAGATTTCACTGAACAACTATTTTTAAGAGTACTATCAGTTACAAGTCAATGAAATTCTATATCGAAATAAGTTATAGAACGAATCCGAACAGAAAAAAAGCCAAATATAGTGTTAACTTTATTTACGTTAAAAAGAATTCATAATTGTTGGTTAACAAACAGTATTATAATGTCATGCATTTATTATTTTTACAATAAATAAATACAAAAATTATTTGTTCAAGGTCAATTGTTTTTGCTGATAAATTAAAAAGAAAAAATTTGTTCATACGATCACTGTGAATATATCTTGTCATACATTGATATCTCATTGTGCATTTTCATAATATCTATTTCTTTAGATAAACATAAACTATAGTTTCAAATATCGATTTGTCCATAGGTTTATTCATAACAGATTTTTCCATCTTAAATACATTAGCTATTATTAATTTAAAAATTGAAAAGAAAAAAAAATACAAAGTATTATATTTTGTAGATAAAAGAAAAGAATATTTCTGTCTTACAATCGATAAAATTTTCGACTTAAATATTTATTCTTCTTGATAAGAAAAAATTTTATTCAAATGTTTTTTTTTTATTTAACCGAGTCTTGGTATTGATGAAACCCGGAAATTGTGATCAAAGAAGACACGTACACGATCATATCTAATATCATCTGTTACTTCGAAACCTTCTGCTATTGGAATTACTTCCAAATCTATAAAATATATACATTTTTAAACCTTGCAATTTAAACAAAAAAAAAAACAAACTATCGTTTTTTTTTCTTACCTGGATCTTCACAATGAATTATTCCAACAGCTTCATTTACTGGCATACCAACTAGAGTAGGCCACAATTGATAACGTGGCATATTCACGTGTTGTAAATGATGTGAAATGATATTTTTCACTCCACTAACCACGTTCTTTACACATGGATGATCAATAACAAAAAAAAAATTTTTTTTTCTTTCCATATTTAATGTTACATATATGTAGTGGTGGGCCAAAGCAATCGATATTTGGGGGGGGGGGGGTGCGGCTTTTTGCAAAGAACGCAAAAAAGAATATCAGCTCGGATGGGAGAAAAATAGAAACTTCTCACGATTGACGAAGGGCGAAGGGATGTTACACTTTCGATAGCCATTAATCAAAATGTATCCACTATCATACAGAAAATTTATCAGTTCTGTTTTGTTTTTTTGAACAATCGGATCAATAATATCAGTGATATAAAGAAATTTACAAATATAATGAAGAGTTCTATATTAAGTTGAACAATAGTATTACAATGTTCAAAACAATAGAAAAGATGAAATATTTGAAATCTGTTCATAAATTGTTAATGACATTGTTGTTTAGATGTTAAAAAAGCAATTATCCCTATGAAGAAGATTCAATAGATATAATTAAAAGAAATTATCATGGAGAAATTTTTGGTTTTATTAAATCAAAGAAACAAAAAATCGTTAACAAATGAAGAATTGAAATGTGAATAATTTTTAGAATTTATCCAATGTTATCAGACAAATATATTTCGATTCTCAAGTTAAAACAGTTATGATTGAACATAGTAATTCTAATTTATTGTTTCATTTGTTTTCTTTTTGAAAGTATAAACAACTGGCAATGTGTTAATTACTATTCATATTTGAGTATGAATCTATATTTTTATTTGAAAAAAAGTTATTTATCTAAGGGATTGTTGGTGCCGATGAAACGTTGCCATTTTCATCATAGAACACAAATACATGATCACATCTTAAATCACTTGTCACCGGTGATCCTTCTTCTAATTTGATTATATTTAAATCTATAAAAATAGATAATCTTTTACTTATGAATTTCAATTTAAAGTAACGATTTTCTCTTAGTTGAATGTTTCATTTGAATTGTTGCAATAGCTTCATCAACTGGTTTACTAACTAGTTCAAGCCAAGGTTTTTTACTTGACATATTTACGAAATGCGAATATTAAGAGATGAAAAATATGTGATTAATAACTATATATATGTTTTACTTGCTTTTCTCTCGTACAACTATTGCTTATTGATAAAATGAATCCATGTCATTTCATATTCATATAAATTGATGTGACAAGTCAATATAACTATTTATGAGAAGCAAAAAAAATGATGCTTATTTTTCGAATCAAGCATGAATGAAGTTTTATTCGTATTCATTGATATAAACAGTCTGTTTTTCATTTTCAAAGAATCTTACATAAGAAAGAATGATTTTCATGTATTTGTTAAAGTTTGAATTAAAGTATTCTCGAGTTATGATTAGTAACAAATGAAAAGACTGTGAATCGGTTTTCTTTTGGATTTAGTGGTAGAGATGAATCGAAACTGAACAAAGTAAGAACATTTGAGTTCAAAAGGAAGACTAAACGCATAACTACTTACCTTTTCTTTTAATACCCACACGACTATAATTACTTGTACTTTTTCTAGATTAGTAAAGCATTCAAGATATGAATAATATATGCTCGTAAATAATGAAAAATAGAAAGAGTCTATGTTAAACATTGTTGAATCACTCAATATTTATTCATTAATAACTCTTCGCGGAGATTGACAAACTACATTTTTGTGTCGCATTCATAGTTTATATTCCAAAAAACATTCTCTGATGCTGTATGGGTAGGTAAAAATGTTTTTTCAGAAGATGACTCCGTGATTTCAAATAGTATTAACAACAAATTTTATACTGAATTATAGTGCATCAAAAATGGGCTTTGCCAATACTAAACAGTGAGAATTATGGCAACTTTTCAATGTTGAATTCAAAAAGTCTTTAAAATTTTACGTCATATTAGCAGAGAAAAATTCTTTTCATGAGATAGTTCAAGGTAGATCTCATTGAAAATGGTGAATATCAAAAAGTGATATTTATTTTTTTTAAGATTTGATAAATATAATCAATAATCAGTATGACGACCATTGGCGTTTCTACAGCAGAAAGACGAGACGGATGCGGACATCAAATAATTTCAAAAAGAGCAGTGTGGTGTGGGTGTGAATGGGTGTGGGTGGGTGCGGGTGTGGGTGTGGGTGTGTGTGGGTATCGTTGTTTGCTTCATCCACACCCCACTCCACCCTAGATATTTGAAAATTATTCTAATGATTATAAAATAGATGAATAATTGTAGGTCAAGAAGATGTTGAGTAAGACCTTTTATCGGGTCCCTATCTATGTAGTATGTCGACTTTTTTCTATTTATTTTTAGACAAGGTATTTGTATCCGTTTCTCAGCTTTATTCTTTCAATTGAAGTTTGTGTCAAATAGAAAGAAATTCTTTTACAAGCACCACCATGAGTGAAGATTTATTTTCATTGAAAAAACAAATAATCCATAAGAAAGCAAAACTATGTTTTATTTTTAAAGTGAAAAGTTTATTAATGCATTTGGTTGCATTGAGAAAAGAAGAAAAAATAATTTTTTTTTTAAATGAGTTACTCTGAAGTAAGTTAACTGTTGTTGAAGCTGAAACAAATTCAAATATATATTTTTGTAAAATAAACGTAGAATATTTAACTATTTAAAACAATGACATCTTCACCAAATTTATCATCAAAATATGTCGTATTTTCGTATAATAAAAAGCATGAAGAACTTGTATTAAAAATTTATTATTATTTGAAAAATGAAAATTTACCTGTATGGATTAATATTCAAGATGGAATCAATAAAGATATATATCAAAGGTATTTAAACAGGAACAATAAAGAACAAATTTCTTTTCTGTAAACAAATTATTTGTTTATAGTATGGATAATATTGTTGAACACATACGTGTTCTTGTATGTTTCATGACACCGATGTATCAAACTTCAAAAGAATGTCAAGAACAAGTTGAATTTGCTAAAAGTAAACGAATACCTATAATTTCTTGTCGTCTTTTACCAAATTGGAAACCATCTGGTTGGTTTAGTAAGTTTATTTTATTTTATTTTATTTATTAATTATTAAATTTATTTAAAAAAAAAAGATAAAATCACAAATGATCAATTAACAATTGATTTACATGCTGTTAATCAGAGAAATTTTAAGGAAAAAATGAATAAATTAAAAGAAAAAATAATCTATTTGTTGTTAGACGATAAGACAAATAGTCAAATATCATCGAATTTGCTTGCTGATGAGTCTTTCATAGGTTAGTTTGTTAAGAAAAATTAGAAAAGAATATTTATTTATATTTATTGTTAAATAATTATAGATCAATCGATATTATTAGATGATTCATATATGTTTTGTTTAGTTGAATATTTAAATTCGAATTGTATTAAGAAAAAACCATATAAACATCGAATACTTCCAAAACATTGTCGTTTATCATTATCAAATTTAATGATTTGTAATAATGAATATATATTAATTAGTGCAAATCATCATTTACATTTATTTGATGGAAATTTAAAATATATTCGATCAAATAAAGAACGAAAAATAAATGAAAATGATCTTAAAGATTTAAGTTGGTCTTCTTATTCAAATTGTTTTATAATATTAATGAAAAAAGAAATTTATTTAATGGATCCATTATCAAGTAAAATTTCAATTATTGAATATTTTAAATTAAAAGATCATCGAGAAGAATATCTATCATGTACTTGTTCAGAAGATCATATTTATTTAATTAAATGTCAATTTAATTCAAATATATATTATCTTGAAGAATATTATTTATCAACATTTAGATTTTTAAGAAAATTTCAAATAACACATTTAATTGGAACATCTTTAGTTATTCAAAATGGATCTTCTAATCAATTTCAAGATATTGAAAAAATAAATTCAATTCGATATAATGAAAAAAAATTAGCTATTATTATAAAAATAAATTCACATTCATTTATTTATATATTTCAATTGCATGATCAACCTGTTTTTTTAATGAAAATTCCAATAGAAGATAATTGTCGAATGACTATTTTAAATCCAATTAATCAATTTATTATATTTAAAGATTATTTATCAAATTTATTTATTAAAATATCAATCGATTTTGAAAATGATTTTCAATTAAATCAATATTATAATTGTTCTAATGGACTTATTGACTTTAATGGAAAATTACGTAATGTTGCCTTATTTGGAAGATCGAATCTTGTTTTTCTTATTGATAATGCTCTTCTTATTTATCAATTATAAATTAATTTTTTAGGAAACACAATATTTCATTTTTACAAGAATATATTTAATCTTTAAAATCTTATGATGATTTTTTATCTTAATTAAATTTCAAAAACATTTTTTTTTAACTGTTGTATATCATTTAAAATGAGTATAGAATTTTATCTGAGTAATAATGTTGATTATTATTAAAAGCATTTTAATATGAATGACAGTAGTTGCGAGATTTTCGAATGGAAACAAATGAAAACTAGTCAATAAATAAAACTTATTTTAAATTAAACATCAAATACTACAGAATTATGACCAAGAAAACTACATCTAAAGATTTCTTCAATATCGATTAATAGATAATTGATTTTTCAAGAGTTTAGTTCGTTTTTAATTGTTTTTGATTAATAACAATAGAAGATCGTTTTTATTTGGAGGGCGTGAGCGTGAAGTAGGTATGGGTATAGGCGTTAATCTTCTGCACATTGATAGTCATCTCCATGTCCACACCCACCCCCGTCCTAAATTTTCAAAAGTTCATAAATTTGCACAAAATCTCGATGTAAACATGTGTTTTACTGTAAGACTTAATGAATTTGATCGATTAGCAACAGCAATTGTAGTTCACACCAGTCATAACCTTGGAAATCAAAATGTTTTTGTGAATATCATCGCGGCGGCAGTAGACTCTCAACTAGGGCTGTCATTTACCGTTTAATTTATATTTATTTTACATATAAATATTTTGTTTTTCATAATTTATCGAATGTAAATTAAAATAAATTATCATATTTCTGTATGATAATTTACATAAGAACTATACTAGTCTTTATATTATATTTATGTATTATTTATTTGTTATACTATCTTTTCATTCAATTAATAGTTCTTAATTTGCGAAAAGATTTCACCATTTATTTTGAAGATGTGGGTGTGAGTGGGTGCGAATGTGGGTCACACCCACTCTAATAACAAAGTTGTAAAATAAATGAGTACCATGAATTAATTGTAAGACAAACGAGAATACAATTATTGAAGAATAGAATATCTTATAGATACTCTATGTTGCCCAGTATTTTCAAGAACTTCACACATCTGTACCAATAAAGTAGAATGTGGAAAACATTCAATTATTTCTCTGGTTATAGTGTTTTCTTAGTAATGGCATCGCGCTTATATAAAAGTGTATATTTGTGAACTAATATAGAAATTCGTTCAAACATTTTCTTGGCTTTCTTCAATGTTATACATTCATTTATTTTCTAGCTTTATGCACAACGTAGTTTCCTCTAAGCGCATTCTGATACATGTTCGTTAGTGATAAATTTCTTTCGAAAGTTTTTCAAAAAGAAACAAGTTTACGTATTTCAAGTTTGAATAGTCAATCAGATAGGAAATTAGTAGAATTACGCATAGTTTATGTGGAAACATACTGATTATTATTCATTTTAGTAATTAATATTGTTGTTAAATTATTTTGTAGTGATAGCAAAAATTTCTTGTGAAGCATTTTCGAATACATATGATTATATCATCAAAGTATGCTATATTTCGTGGATATTTTTATTTATAAAAACAAAGAATCAATTCAAGATCTAATTTGGAACTGTAAAATCATTATAGTCGAATAATAGAACTTCTAAGAAACGAAAAAAAATGGAAGATTAAAAGAATTACATGAATATATGTATCTACAGTTAAAAAGGCACTGGTTTGTCGTTTTAAGAGCAAGTGGCAAGGTCATGTGACAATATCTAACTTGTAGTTGATATTCGGCTTCTAACAGGTTCGATATAACTCATCATCTATCAATATAAAAATAAAGTACTAGGAACTCGGAAAAGAATTCATATGAAGTTGTAGGTGTAGTTATTATCGAGCAGCTGAACCACACCCGCATACAACAATAAATTGATGATGAACATCTAACACTACCTCAAGTTTTATAAAATAAAATAATTAATGTAATTAGATTTTCTTGCCTTTTTTTTCCTATTTATGAACGAATCTATTCAACTAATGAACCATTTTTGAGTCAAGATTATGTGCATGTAGTTTCCCATGAGCTATGAATATCCTGAAAAGAGTTGGTATACTTCGCTTCTTACACGGGTCACAGCTGTATATGGAAGCCAGACCATTGTTCTCGGATACGGATATGAGGCGCATGAGAGCTGGTCTTGATTATCTCTTCAGTCAGACTCACATATTCTCCTCTGCCAATTGATCATGTTTTACTATCGACTTCATACGCATTATTTCTTCAAAAGCTCGATAATTAGCATTGAGATTGGGTCGAGCTTGGTCTAATAACAGAGAATGGTTTAGCGATGATATTGAGTATAATAAACGAAGAGTAAGATACTAACGATGTATTGATTCAGGCTATCGATACAAACAACACCAAATTTTTTAGAAAATCAACAACTTTATTTAAAAAAAAGACCGCTGTTCGATTTATCTAAAATCATCTTATTTCTTCTTGATGTAAATATTCGTTGCTTTGCTTTTATCACTACTTACCGGTCGAATAATGCATATATTCTTTTTCTTTTTCTCACTATGTTGACGCTTTTGTATTGTTTGAATTTAACGCATGTAATTATAAAACGATTTACTGTGAGTATGACAAGATGACATTTAGAATTTACATATTTTGTTTTTTTTTATTCGAACATAAGCACAAAAACTCTTACTTTAATACTCAAATATTCTGTTCATACAATGAGATATATCAAATATGATATGTCTTCTTCTTTCTTATATGTAGAACTGCTCTTGTCTTTTTTGGTTTGATCATTATTAAAACAAAAGAAAAAAAAACCTAAGTATTGCTAAGATTCATACTGACTTTTTTGATATAATATGAGTTACTTTCGGTATTTCAAAGCTTTATTTAATTAGTTTAGAAAAGAAAAAATAATAATGGACATTGAAGAGAAAAAAAATAGACTCTAACATACTTTTTTCGATACAAGCCAGAAGTTTCTCAAGCATACACGTCTGTTTGTCGAACTTTGGATTAGATTTTTTGAATCCATTTGTTAACATTATTAAGTGTATTTCGTGCTTCGGGATAGTAGAGAAAAAATATTGGATAAATATGCATTAAATGTAAACCTTCTTCAAATGTTACATCAACACCAGCATCTTGAGCCTTATTTACAAGTCTTCTGGAATCATCTTCTGTTATCTCAGCTGTACCTACAATAATATACATCGGTGGAAATCCTTCGAATTTACCAAAAAGAGGACTAAACAATGGATTGTCCGACGATAAATCAGGATGATTAATGCCCATTAGTACTTTGACCATCCATTTGGTCATGTCAGTATTGAGCATTACATCCGTAAGACGATTACGTGTATAACTTTCACCAGATAGTGAAAGATCAGTCTGAGGAGAGATAACAATAACACCACGAGGTACCGGCAATTGATGCGCAATTATAGTTTGAACTGTTAGCAGAGCAAGGCCACCGCCAGCTGAATCACCCATAATAAGTATTTGAGATGGTGAAATATTATGACGAAGAAGAGCACGATAGATTGCAATTGCATCGTCGACAGCTGCAGGAAAAGGATGCTCAGGAATAAGTCGATATTCCACATGAAGTACGGTTACATTGAAAAGTTGAGACAAATGACATTCAAATCCACTATAACCTATCAAAATATCCTCAAAATTTTCTATTTCAGATTTTTTTTTAATGATGTAATAAGTACTATTTAATAAACTATCTCTTTACGTGTTCATATTAATTAACTTACTACGAATATCACCTGACAAATATCCTCCACCATGAAAATAAAGTACTATTTTATCGAATTCTTTCGGTAAGTTTTTCTGATGATGATTAACCCAAAAGGCATCTACTATATGTCCATCATGTTCAAACACTTGTTTAGTAATTTGACAGTGAGATGGTTTAGGAATTGCAACAGCTAACGAGACACTTGAACGTATTTCTTTGACAATAGAAAGTGGATCTCTTAACGGATCAATTCCTGATATCGCGTTCAGCCGTAATATTTCTTCAAAGGCACGATAATCTGCACTGAGTGTTGGTCGAGCTTGATCAGATAGTAGACAATGTTTCAATGATAATGTGGAATGTAGTAGACGCATTAAAACATATAGATAATTTGTTGAACCATATCGCAGAGGAACAGCAATAGATACAATTAAAACGAATAATACCAATTTCTTTAGAAATCCGTAAAACGACATCATTTTTACCCTTTAAAAAAAATGATTGCTTCTATGATGAGTATAGACTGTGTTATTTTCATTACTACTCACCTATTAAGTAAGGCACGTGTTTTTTTTTCGTTCTTGTTTTTTCTCCTAATGTTAATGTTTCTATGTCGTACTTTCATACTTGACATGCAGAATAATACAACGAAATATTTATCAAAATAAAATCGATAAATATTGATGAAAGGATCATGGTTGACTTTAATCAACTGAAGCAATAGTAAGAAATATATTTAGATTAAAATACTTAGAAGAAGAAAAATACATTTTGAATCTTTCATCCTCATTAAAAAAAACAATCATTGATAATAGTCAGTTAAATTATATCAGTATCAAGTCAAAAACGAAAAAATTCATTGAAGAATTAAATAAAATATTTATAAATTACAATTTTTATTATATTCATTGTTGAAGATGGTCGAATATGATTACACCAGCTTGTTCAACAGTGATTACATAATCTTGAATAGCATATTGGATAGCTTCATTTTGACTTTTGTTATGTCTTAATTCACTAACAATACAACTACATTGGCATCAACTATTTCATAGCCATTTTAATCTACTTCATTCCTACAAATTATAGATATAAGTACCTACCCTAGTAGCTATTGTTGATCAATCGATATCAATTATCATTACTTATTCTATCAAGCAATTCAATAAAATATTTTATATAGTTAAGTCGAATAGAAACTCATCATTCTTTTTTGGCTAAATTCTTAGCAATTTTTCATTGTTTTCTCAATAATGGTTCTTAACCAATGAGTCTAGTCGATCATTAATAAAGCTTTGCTCTATATCAAACATTCACTTTTAGCACTTTATGGAATGTCTCAACGATTTTAATTCGTTAGAGGATGTAATATCCGTTGAAAATACTTATCCGTTAAATATCACTCGTCATTTTGAGTGTTCAAGATCATGAAGGAAGCACCTTGACATACGTTTTTAAAATTGTTCATATTTTTGAAGAAAGCGACGGTATATACGAATCATTATGTTATAGTGTGAAAAATCAATAAAAGTATGGTTACTAGAAAAAGAATTCCAATAACCTATTACATTTAAGTTTAAATGAACTTTCGATCGAGAAAGTTTATATTCTAATCCAGCAATAATATCATTCGAACAGAATAATCATTTGAGGTTTTGTCTGTTAATATGAGAAGATAATGACATGACTACTTGATATATAAATGATATTTGTTTGTTTTCTTTTCGTATTGAAAAAACCCATGGGTTTAAATATCATGGCATCACGAGTCAGAGAAGAAATGAGTGGCACAAGTTCCGGATAATCTTTCGTTGTCTTTATCCGCTGGTGTAAATAATGAAACATGTACACACACCCACACACTCAAACCACCACCCCACCTCTACACATCACCTACACGTACATCCATACTCCACACTCTGGAAAACCGCTAATGAACAATAGATGTAATTAGGACCGAACTGAGTGAGTAATGTGTGGAATCGATAGAGCACGCCGAGTTCTATGTTGGTTTATCGTTATATTCGTTCAGGAAGTGAATTTATTCAGAAAATACTCGTATTCTGACCTAGGATATCCTACGTATCTACATTATGATATATTGTTGATTGATCACAAAAAAAAATAATTCTTTTTAATAATAAGTGTCAGATGAAAATCATTGTTGACCATAATTCTACAAAATAAAATAACAAACTAAAAAAAATATACAAAATAAAATTTACTAATACTTGTTTATTGTTATTATGTATTCGTTCTTCTAAATCATGAAGTCTTTATAAAAAGAAAATTGAATTTAAATAAACTAAAAAGGAAAAAGAAATATTAATCTTACTTTCGTTCAATATTTTGTATTACAATTTCAATTTGATCTTTCTTTCGATGTTTTAACGTATAACTCCAATAGTCATCAGCTATAGCATTTTCGCGTCGCATTGCATCACTAACTATCATTAGGAAAAATAAATCAGAAAAAACTTTCGATGTATTTATATTATACTGCACAATCTTACCTTTAAATTCGTCTCGAATATTATTTCCATTCAAGTTTCTTGGTTTCATTACTAATGTATCATCGGCAACTATAAAATGAAGAAAAGGAAAATAATTGTATATAAATAAATTATGTAAAACTACGAATTGAATGTCTCTGGCGCCGCTTTTGGATTTTTTCAATTAGATATCGAACACTATGATATAGATAATATACAGTATTAAATGGTGGTGGTAATGGAGGTTTATTATTATATTCAATAACGAGCAGAAAACGTTGATAACGCCATATTCGATGAGATTGATTTTCAACATTTTGAATTGTTACACTGCAAATAAAAGCAAAAAAAAAATAATTTATATTTTTTAGTCAATTTTTCTACATACTTGAATAAGGCAACAAGCACATTAAGAAGAAGTACACTAGCAAGAGCAACAAATATTATATCCAATACAAAAGCTACATTAGAATATGAATCTGTCTTATCTAGAAAAAGAGCAATATTATTTTTAAAAAAAATTTCAATTATAATTATCTTTACGAATTGATTCTACTTGTCCAAAAATTTTCCAAACACCATAATTTGCTACATGACGTAATATTTCCCATTTCCATAAACCACTACCTGCACCTGATACTGTCACATTAGATAAGGATCCATTACTATTATAATACCAATAAACTTGTTTATTTGTAGTAATTAATGACCAAGATGCTACGGAAAATGCTAATAAGAATATAAGAATAAAACAAATAAAAAATAACAGGTCCTTCATCTATTAGCAAAAAAAGTAAATTAGAATATTGATTAAATTAGAACAAAATATCAATTATTAACCGTATTAAAAATCATAATTAATTTCGGTCCTAATTTTTCAAAAGCAGCAAACAAATGTAATATACGAACAAACCAAAGTATTAAATCAAGACATAAGAATATTCTAAAAATAATTTCAAATTAAATAGATATTATAATTCAAAAAACAAAAACAAAAAAACTTTCTTTGATATAATAAATGGTACTTCAAGAACAATAAATCGTGTAATAAAACCAATAAGATATAACATAATTGCAAGAAGATCAATAATATTCCATATTTCTGATAGATAGGCTCTTTTTGAATTCATAAATAAAAACTAAAAAAAGAATACTATTTATTAATAAAATATAAATCAATATTACTTGACGAATTTCTTCAATAATTAAACTCCACATACAAATATGAAGAATTATTTCAGTTATTGGTATTGGTAAATTTTTAAAGCCTGATCGATTTTCATTATAGATATTTAATGGAAAATAATCAACAAGAAGAACAAAACTGAATAAACCCAAAAATATAATGAAGAATATCTAAGTGAAAATAAAAAATAAAAGTATGAACATATTGAAATAATAGAATTAATCTTTACCGTATAATAATAAAATCGTACAATAGGTGCTTGATAGAAATATCTTATTTTATCTAACCATGAAATATTATTTTTTCTTTTATATTGAACAGATCTTATAAAATTTGAAAAAAAAAATTTTTTAGTAAGATAATTATTATTGTTCTTACTCAGGAGCATTATGGGTTGTATTCAATTGATTGATTCTCGAACGATCTCGAGTACTTACGGTAATCTTTAAAAAAAGAAAAACTATTCAATATATTTTAATAGCTTCTTTTTAATTTTGTTTACTAACATTTTTATGCTTTTCTATATAAGGTAGAGTAAAACAAAATATTGGAAGTAAAGGAAAAAATAATGAACAAAGAAATATCTAAAAAGAAAAATCTATTTTATGCTTCATTTTTAAAAAAAAATATTTACTCGGAAATTAATAGCTTTTCGTTTATAATTGATATATCCAAACCTATACATTTAATTTTTATTATAAAATTTTCTTTGTAAAATAAAAATATTACCATTCATTATCAAGATATCTTTGAATACATTTTGATGCAAGAAATGATCTACAATTAGCTTCTCCAGCTAATTGTAATGGATCAATATCATTAAATGCAACAGCAGAACGTTTTAAAAGATCAACAGCAAACTCTTCATCATTATCAAAACATCGATCAATAATTGAAGTAGCATGAATATCAAACTGACTAAAGACAAAAAAAAACAAATAAACATTATAATCAATGAAAATTATTCAAATTACTCAGCATTTTTTTCATATTGTTGTTGTTGATCTAAATCAAGTGCTAATATTGCGGCTCGTCGATAGATTCGTGCACCAAATAATGGCGCTATTGATGTATTCTAGGAAGAATATACTCTCATACAATGGAACCTATTATATTCATATTCAAGAAGATTGAACTAATGAATTTAAAATATCATCTGTTCATCATGGGCTTCAAATGAAATATTCGATTTTTAAGGTATTCACAGTTTTGATATGGAAATATAATAGTACAAAAACTATTCACAATAATCATCAAATTTTTCAGGTAATGCATTTTTTGAATTTCGATGAAATTTATCGATCAAAGTAGAACTAATCTAGAGTAGTGTTCAGCACGGGTATAATTTTTCGTAACGGATCTTGATAGCTCTACTCGGTACTCGTCTGCGTCTGGATCGAAGCTAATCAAAACTCGGCAGATACTTTCACAGTCACAGTATGGTTTTCAAATTTTATATGATACGAAAAACTATGTTGTTTAGTTTCTTTCATAAACAGCAACATAAAAAAGAGATCATCGCAAATTCAATAAAAACAACAAGTGAATCAAAAGTTATTCACAATCCTTTTGGTGTCTTTCTGTCCCTAAAATCTGATCAATTTCGCTAACTATACGTTTGTTAGTTGCTGATAATGCCCGAATCGAACGTATTCATAAAAAACAAATTCTTTGGGTAAAATAATATTGTTTTCCATGTGTCTGTGATCTGTATCTCAAGTACAATAAGTTGTTCAATCATGATCGAATCTGTTTTCGCTTCTGTGATTGTATATAAATAACATTTTGAAAAACTAAAAAATATTTTAAAATATCGAGTTTTCATTAATTTTCTCCGAGTGTGAAATCATATCCAGTGGTGTTTAACCACCTTGAGTTTCAACTGTTTTAACAGTTTGAATTGGCGCGGGTACTAAGGAATGTTCATATACAGATTCTTTTCTAGTCAATAGTATTCAACGAAAAATATTTATTATAAACTTCTAATTTTTTATTTAGAAAAATATTTTTCAATTCTCAACCGATTAGTTTACCTTTAATTTTAGTTTAGGCAAATGTGTTTTAGCAATTATAATATAAGAAAATATTTAAATAAAGAATTTTCAGTCAATTTCACATGATCTAAAGAAAAATGAAGATTTTTTGTTTAAACGTGACTGATTTCGTAGCAACAAAATACGACCATTTTTTATAGTTTAGAATGAAAATCCACTGGAAAGACTATGAACAACGTGTTTAATCGTTATTATGACCGCGTTTTTTGTCTGCCTGGATCTTTTTTCTGTATGTAATTAGTGCAAAACCATATTTTATTATTCTTATCTGATTGAAGATCTTCCTCTTCATTTCGTTAGTTTGGCGAGGAGAATGATCAATTGATTTCAATATAGTCAATCTCTTTTGAATACCAATACCATCGATTCTATTAAAAGATTTATTTAATCAATTAAACCTTACCCAAGTTTTGGAACAAAGATACGTTGCAAGTTCATTACCGCCAAGAAAAACGGCTCACAAAAATAAATCTTGTGGAGCACTTTTACCTAATGGATGATTATCATCTAATTGTGGTAAATTATTGAGTTTGTTCGTATTATACTACAACGATATTTCTTTAAAAATAATAATCAATAAATCAATTTCTTTCATACCACGATCGAATCAACATAGTTTAAGTAATATTGATCTTTTATCGATATTTTATCTTTTCGTTTACCTTTAATTGGTAATCCATTACTAGTCTAACAAGAAAAAAGCAAAACAAAACTTTGTAAAAATTAATTTTCTTCTTTTTTTTTTAAATCAATATACCGATGTTATTGTGTAAAGTTGTTTAAGATCTCCATTTGTCAATGTTTCAAGTGGTGTACCAAATTCAATAAGTAATTCAACAAAATCAACACGACCACGACGAAGCGCATTGACAAGAGCATATCGTAGATCGTCTTTCTTTTATTTATTGCAAAAATAAAAACAATAAAAAAACAACAAATAAACAACATACGTTCCATGTCAATATAGTCGTATCAGTAAGAAGATATTTTCGAGCATAATCAAATTTATGCCATGCCTAAATGAATTTAATACAAAAGATCTTATTTAATTGAATGTCTTCTTTTAGATTACTATAGCTAATTTAAGTTCCCTAGTTCGACGATGTTGTTCATTACCATCAGCGGAAAATTTTGCAGCTATAAAACAAAATTTTCTTTTAAAGAAATTATCAAAAATAAGAAATATTTACCATTAAATAAAGATTCGAGAATAGCATCTTCAAGATTGCCATGATATTGTTGACTATCAAGTTTAAAAATTGTTACTAATTTTTTACGTTCATTTAATATTCGACAATAATCACTTTTAATCTTATCAAATCCTTTAATATGACCTTGTGCATTAGCCAAACTTGATTAATCAGTAAAGAAAATTATTGTGTAAAAATTCTTAAATTTTTAAAAAATTTACATTTCATCGATCTCTGTTTCTTTTGAACCACCTTTAGCAACACCGCTTTTTGGCCGTGTAGGACATGCACTACCATTGCCATTCTCACTATCAGAATAACAAGCATGCAATTTAGCAACAAGATCAGCAGCACGACCTGAATCCTTTAAAAATCAATCCGAGTTTTTTTTTTCTTAGATTTTTTAGTGTTTGTTTTTTTGTTATACTTTGATAACTACAACGGGAGTATTCCATTCAAGTGCTTGACAAATTGTTTCAATTGATGATCGACCACCTTCGACTAAAACCATAACAATAGGTATAGGCGATTCTACTGTTTCCTCTATTGTATTTTCTAGACTAGTATATCGTGAATATTTTTCAATTTCTGCTCTTAATGGGAGAACAGCATCAGGATTTTCTTTTCCATCATCAAATAATAAAAAATGTGTATGATTTGGTTCTAAGTCACATTGTCCCGACTTTTTTTCTTCAACAATATACTTTCGAACAATATATTGATCATCGTTATCCTAAATTTAATTGAAGAAAAACAACCAAAAACAAAAACCTTTCGTCTTTTTCAAACAAGTTGTTCAACAATTTACCATAGGAACAGAATGATCTTTTCGTTTTTGATGATCTCTCATAAATGAACGTGTACGTTTTGTATTACTTTCATTTATAGGAAAATTCCTAGGTTGATCGTCAAATTGATCATTTCCTGCAGTATAACCCCAACTACCAATACCAATACATGGTATATCAAGTATATGTTTTCGATTTTTATAACGATAGTTATTAAGAGCTTCACCAACTTCTTTAACGACGCCAGCATTTGTTCCAGCTGTAATCAACCATGCATCTATTCAATTAAAATCATATATTAGTTATTTATATTAAAATTAAAATTTATTACTTGTTGTAATAGCAGCAGAAATAAGACCACTTTGAAAAATTTTTCTAAGACGTGCTGACATATCAAAACTTTTCGCTCCACCAGTTACAGATATAATTAAATCAGGCTTTGGTAAACCCCAACCTTGTTGCATAAAATTCACAACTGTATGAGCATTTGTCTTAAGACTTAATCTTATGTATTGTGAAAGACGTGTAGTAGCATCAAGTTCATCTTCATCAAATTTCATAAAACCATATTGTTGAGTTATAATACATGGCCTAGTAAAAAAAAGAAAAACTTGAATATTTATTTTTATTAATGAAAATAAATGTAAATTCACGAATCATTTTGACAAATTTGTAATATTTCAACCGCCTAAAATATTTTTAAGAAAAGAATACATTATTTTTCATTATTTCTTGTCTAGCATTTACCTTTCGGACATTTTGCATTCGCTCAGGAATTTCTTCTGCCATTCTTTAATTACTCTTTTCTCAATTCATATATAATGCTTTTTATGTAAATCACTAACATACAAAAAGAAAATCCAAAATAAATTTAAAGCAAAATAAAAAAAAAGAACAACATACATAAAGATTAAGATAAAGAAATAATGTTCTTATCATTTTATTATATTAAGAAAAATTCTTTCTTTTTCTCTTTAAAAAAATCCGAAAGAAAAGAACATAGTTGTTTGTCAGAGGATCTCGGACATTATTTTCTTTTCATGAAATGCAGTAAATATTATCTTGATGTTGTGGCAACAAAGTCGGTCGTCATTTACATGCATAGTGTGGGTGTAGGTGTATGAACAGAAGATGAACACCCACACCCTGTCTGTCTCTTCAGTAATACCTCTGGATAGATTCTATTATCGATTTCATGTTTTCTCAGCCGTTATGTTATAGCTACATGAAAATCAAGGATTGCTAAGTAAGAAAATCAGTCACTTTACTTTATTCTTGTCTTATTTTACATCAGCACGCTTTATTTGTTTGGTGCCTTGCTTGAATAACTGTTACCATATTTTTGTAAACATACTTACTATATCATTTTTCTCTGGTATCATACTCCAAGTTTTTTTTCGAGTTTTAGTATTTTCATATTATTCACAATTTTTTTATGTTTACTAGGAAATGCAGTGTCATGATAAGTATATGAATATCACTACTGTATGTATATGACAAGTATTTGTTAAAGCAAAGTATATTTATGCATAGGTTTCGATGAAGAACGGGGCACAGGAACATTGGTTGAGCTTGGCACAATGTTTCTTATCGCTCATGATAAATCAATTTAAGACCATCTTCGAACGCCTTGTCAGAACACGATGCATCCATGTGTAAAGAACCAACTACTCAATTATTTTATACAACATTGCAATAAATTATTGAATACCTTCAGTTTTTTTCTTTCTTTATGTCGATCTATATATAAAAGTTCTGCTATGTTTTGGAGACAGCTCGGTGTAGTTTTTT